TTTCCTATCCTGAAATAAGAGATGACACCAGAGGCATCTGCTAGCCTTTCGTGAGCTGCATTTTTTCCTCTTCTATAATCCTTGTATCCTTTGTATCTGAACTGATGCTGATTCTTCAGAGGCAGGATGAAGCTTGGCTTTCATGAGTAGGAAAGTGAGGAAGTGGGGTATGCAGTACCACTCTACACTGCGGGATGCCATTTTTACTTGTTATCCATATAAAATAAGCTATGCCAGCTGTCAAATTTTAGTATCTAAGGGGGAAAGATTTTAGTTCAGCTCACTCCCTCTTGTGCTAGATTTCTATTTGCAGGGATATTTGTGTTTTTTCCCCCCACAAAAAAAGGAGCACCTCAAAATGTGATCCACCCATTGTCCAAATAGTAGAATTTATTCTCATATTCCTCTCCCTGCCACCAGCAGACAGATCAGTCTGTGGCAGGAAAATGTTAATAATGATATTAAACTACTACTGTTGTTCCCATCATCTCTTATCATAAAACAGGTGGGCTCAGGCTGATGAGTGTTAGAGTCCAGTAGCATCAGGAGGGACACAGGTTCCTAAACCTGATTTTAACATGAGCTACAAATCTATTAAAGTGATAGAGGCGTTTCCCTTTTACTTTGAGCTCTGTGTGAGTGTGTGTATGTGTGTAAAAACAAACTGTCTAATCCTGCCTTAACAATTCCTTTCTGCTTTCCTTCCTGCTTCTCATTTAACCTCTACCCAGGAGACAAAAGAAATCAGCTGGGAGCAGGTAGGGGAGGGATTCCCATGCTGGCCCTCTCTTTACTTGCATGCCTCTGTGTGTGTGTATGAATGTGTGTGTGAGAAAGAGCTTGGAAATGTACTTTTTGGATTATTATCGCCAGTGGCCATGGTTGCTGGAGTCTTCTAGGTGTCATACTCAAAAAGTGACCCTTTTGAGCTCTGGAATAGAAAGAGGGAATGTCTGTTATCATTATGTTTATGATTTCTGCAAAACGTAGGAATGGCACAAAAGAATCGGCAATACACTCAGTGAATGGGAAGTTTTCCCACCCACTCAACTGTACAGATTGTCTTCTTTTATTCCACAACCAACCAGTCCACTGACATGAATGAGAATCTTTCCTTAACTCTAAATGATCCCCTATTATATAGCTTGTTTGAGGATGTTCTATGTGACAATATGGTTGAAAAGAATTATTAGCACAGGTGTTTGTGATGTTCCATTCCATCAATCTGAGATGTCAGCTTTAGGACAGAGAAAGAAGTCTATAAATCTGTTTGCTTCTTTCTCTTTCTCTCTTTCCCCCCCACTCTCATTGTATCATAGGCACCTGTCTCTTCATTCTTTTAGGTTTCTAGGAGTCCATCTGGGACTGGCAGGGGTAGGATGTTGAAAGAAGGCTGCTTTGCATGTCAGCTCAAAGAGATGAACAATGGGTGCATATAATGGATGTGTGCTCTACTTTTGATAAAGGGCAAGGGAGAAATTTGCCCATCATTCCTGTGCTGAAATGCACAAGTTCCAAATGCAGGTGGAATTTGCCTATCTTGTCCTGACACAAGATGCACACATTTTCCTTTTCCCAATATTTCACCATATGCAGGGGGAATGTAAACAAGAGCCAATGTAGTTTGCAGTGGTTAGGATGTTGGATGGAACTTGGGAGATCTAAGTTCACATCCCCAATGTGAGCCATGAAACTCACTGGCATTGATGTTCTCAACCTGGCTAATTTAATTTATATCCCAGCTTCTCCCCAGTATTGCTGTCGCCAGGTAGTACACAGCCCGTTTGCAACCCGGGCTTCTCCGGGCTCCTTCCGCATCTTTTCAAGAACGGGATTTTCCCATTTTTGAAAAGATGCAGCAGAAGCCCAGACTACAAATGAGCTGCATACTCCCCAGTGACAGGGAAATGTGATAAGATCCACTTTCTTAAAGTTACATCCCGCGTCTAGCACGGGAGCAAAGCCAATGTGATAAACTCCTAAGACAAAACATTATAGTATAGGTTGAAAGAGAATACAACTAAATGATCTATATAGTACTAATAGTTTTAAAACAATTTTAAAACAATTAAATAAATCTATTTGAAATTTAATCTAAAACATGTTTAAAACATAATAAAAATAAAAATGCAACACATCCTATTTAAAGGCCCCTTTGCCACAACCAGTAAAGGGCTTCTCTAAATAAAAAAGACTTTGTATTCCAACAAAAATAGAGCAGAGAGAGGTGTGTGAGCCTCTCCCTCTCTGAGGGAATTCCATAGCCTGGGAGCAGCCACTGAGAAGGTTTTTTCTTTGTTCTCTTCAAATGTACTAATGATGATGACGACACTGAGAGCCTTATTGCATGAGAATATGATGCCAAAATGGACAGGAGAAAAGCAGCTTTTTCCTTGCCTTTCCACATGCCTTCAAAGCAATTCCATTTTCTTCCCGAGGGAGACAGTCATAAAAGCATGTCTTTTGCTGGGTTGGAAAATCCATTTGGCAAAAGGCATGCTTTTACGACTGTCTTGCTTGGGAAAGAGAATGGAAATGCAGTGAAAGCATGCAGAGAGGCAAGGAAAAAGCCTCTCTTCTCCGTATCCATTTTAGCTTTCTTTCTCATGTGGTAAAGCTCTGAGAGAAAGCCCTCCCCTGAAGATCTTATAACTTGGATAGGCTGTAACCTACCTCACAGGGTTGCTGTGAGGATAAAATGAGGAGAAGTAGAGCCATGTATGCTGCCTGGAGCTCACTGAAGGAAAAGCAGGATATAAATATAAATGTAACTAACATATATAAACATGTTAGCCAAGTAAGCTCCATGGCTGAGTGGAGATAGTGAATGGTCAGTGTCCAGAAAATGCTAGCCCAGGGCCATGGAAATAGTAAGAGCCTGATGTGAGTTCTATATACATGATGCATCTTGCTCTCTCTCACTTGCTGGGTCTTCTTTTCTCTGTTTCTACAGATCCTGGCATATGGTGACATGAATCACGAGTGGGTGGGAAATGATTGGTTGCCCAGCTTGGGCTTGCCTCAATACCGCAGCTATTTCATGGAATCGCTAGTGGATGCCCGGATGCTGGACCACCTCAATAAGAAGGAACTGCGGGGCCAGCTCAAGATGGTTGACAGTTTCCACAGGTAAGAGCTGGCTGGACTTCAGGCACATCAAAAACATAGCATGCAGTGCAATTCTATGCAGGTTTGTCTAGAAATCCTTCTGTGTTTATGGGTCTTATTTCCAGCTAGGCATGCAAATGATTGTAAAGCTTGTTGTATACAAAGATGCCAAAGCTTGAAAACATTACAGGTATGTCTCACTTAACGAAGTAGATGTGTTTCTTTAACATAAAATTTGGTACTAGAGGCAGAAAGAACATGAAAAAATAGAGATAAATTCCCACACCACATACACATTTTTTTTAAAAAGGCAGTTGAACACGTTTCAGGAAACATCATGTCCCAAACTAATAATATGCACATGTGAAGTGGAATAACCAGATCTGATAAGCCTTGCATAAATAAACTAAAACATTTTCAGCCTTCTAGAGACCACCACTTGAAGTCTGCTTCCAAAGTGCATTCAGGGTTGCTTCCACTCACCAGGCTCCACTTTTCCTGTGATTTTCATTTTGGTGGCCAAACTTATAGATCTGTAATTATTTTAAACATGAGTGGGTAGGCTTATCTGTTTTGCAGTCCACATATGCTCACTAAGAGATTCTGGAGACAACTGCTGTTTATCCTGCCTGTTGTAGGCATGTATACACAGTTACTACAAAATCTTATTCTTTCCTACCTCAAGCTTTATTTGCACCATATACAACAGAAATACTGCTACTATCTGCCACTGAAAATCAGTGTTTCCCCAGTGTTCCTTCACCATCTTCCAAATGCTGATGCTGGTAAAAAGAAACAAACAAGCAGCCTTCCAGCTAGACAGAGAACAAGGTGGAAAAGAGAGGTCTGGGCAGGCATAAAAACACTTTGTAAAAAAGGAGCTTCACTGTCAGAGGCTTTGTTACCTGAGGTATGCCTGTATTTGGAAGGGCATTACAACTTCCAGAATACCTCAGCAAGTAAGTACCGCATTTTCCGGCGTATAAGACGACTGGGTGTGTAAGACAACCCCCAACTTTTCCAATTACAATATAGAGTTTGGGATATACTCGCCGTGTAGGACG